AAAAAAAAAAAAAAAAAGAAAAAGAAAGAGAGAAAGAAAGAAAGAAAGAAACATAGAGGCGGAGATTTTCAGACACCGCAAACGAGACATATGATTGCGAACTTAAGCCGTCGACATGGGAAATTCTACAAAAACTGTCCAATTTGAAATCCAGAAAACTTAGAATTCAAGTTGATTATTTTGGACCGAGGGTTGACTTTCTTAGTCGAGTACAATACTTATGCAGCTTAATCATTTAATATGAGGAACTTTATTTATCAGGCATGTTCCTCTCTTCTTTTTACACGAAGAATATCAGACAATGGTATGACGGTCGTAACTCTGATGTCCGTGACAAACTGAAACAAAAACGGTGGGTATACTCAGCAGCAATAAAGTACAATCTTAAAAGTCGGTATAAGTGCAATTAGTGGCAAGGGCTATAATATGAGCACAAATATTTTTCAGAATATTGTAAGATAAAAATTACAGAGTGTGACGATCGTGACGCACAAAAAGATTCAATGCAGTAAATTTGCGCCTTATAAATCCTTCCAGAATCTTCTAAATTCCGGCAGAGACTGCTGTACGATCATATTTTAATGCGAACACTTCACTACGGAAATGGAACCTCTATAGCAATTTTGACTGTCCCTAGCGGCCGTTTTGGCGAGCAAAAACACTTATGACAGTCGGGACGTCGAGACTTTATCAGATTCGGATTCAGCGACCCAAAAAACATATTGGAAGGCAAAAAAATCGCTGTGTACCCAAAATTCCAGGTAGCCTCATTTTTAGCTACCAGGCGCCTGGACTATAAAATTTCAAAGGAAATCGACAAGACTAGCGTGTATGAAGGCTATTTCAATTGCAATCTGCCGTCGCATTTCTAAGGCGCAATGATACAATTATTTGAACTCTCCGGAATGCGAGAGGTATCACGCCGCATTTGAAGGCGTTTTCAAAACAGCCAAGTTCCGATACCCGGATTATCGTTTTGAGTAGTTCATATTCTTTTGTTGTGTTCCGTACCACTTGTTTATTATTAATGCATACATATGAGTCGCTTTTATAGCGCTTTTTGGCGCTTTACGACGCCTAATCGCCACAAAGCTTGGTCTTCCCACAGGTCATTAGGGAGTTGACACTCCCTCATCTCGTTTAACACCCCCTGTCGCAAACCTCCCACTGGGCGTCCCCTACGTCTCCTCCCAGGGGGAACCCAATCAAGCATCTTTTTTGGCAGCCTCTCTTCCGTCATCCTATTGACATGACCGTACCAGACAAGTTGTTTGGTCATGATGTCGAACACTTGTCATTTTCGACTTCCATTATCTGACAAACTCTATCATTACGGACCCGATCTCTCCTAGAAATTCCTGCCGACCATCTCCAGAAATCCATCTCCGTTGCTCTTAGCATATCCTGTGTCCTTTTCTTCAGCTGCCAAACTTCACATCCATTTGTTAATATAATTTTAACTACAACGTTGTTTATCCTCCTCTTTTTATCATTGGAAATCCGCTGATCCCAGAGGATTCCATTTAACATCGCTATAGCCTTCCTTTTCCTTTTGCTAAATACAATTCTGGCTGGAGCGCATTTTAGCTTTGCATTCACGACTACTAAAATGTCAAAGGAAATCGACAAAACTAGCGGGTATGAAGGCTATTTCAATTGTAATCTGCCGTCGCATTTCTAAGGCGCAAAGATACAACTATTTTAACTCTGCGGAATGCGTGAGGTATCACGCCGCATTTGAAGGCGTTTTCAAGACAGGCAAGTTCCGATACCCCGTTGATCGTTTTGCAAAGTTCTTATTATTATGTTTTATTTCCTTTCATTTGTTTGTGTTCAATCCTCCTATAAAAACTACTCATTTGCTGAACACACTTCTGGCCGGAGCGTATTTTAGCTGTGCATTCACGGCTCCTAAAATGTCAAAAGAAATCGACAAGCCCAGCGTGTATGAAGGCTATTTCAATTGTAATCTTCCGGCACATTCTTACGGCGCAATGATACAACTATTTTAACTCTCCGGAATGCGTAAGGTATCACGCCGCATTTGAAGGCGTTTTCAAAACAGCCATGTTCCGATACCCGGATTATCGTTTTGAGTAGTTCATATTCTTTTGTTATATTCCGTGCCACTTGTTTATTTTTAATCCTCGTATAAAAACCACCCATTTGCTAAATACAATTCTAGCTGGAGCGCTTCAGCTATGCATTCACCACTGCAAAAATGTCAAAGGAAATCGACAAGCCCAGCGTGTATGGAGGCTATTTCAATTTTTAACCGTCAGAATTCGTTTCATTCACTTGTTAGCCGATATAATGGGTGAACTATGAGATTTGTTATCACTTATTTTACAAGTAAAACGTTCATGACTAAAAGTGGACACTTTTCGTAGAACGGACCACTAGACAAGGTACGAATTTAAGCATTCTGATACATGTTCTTTGACCAGAATTTCACGTAAAACACGATTCGCGCGACGAAAATTACAGAAATCAACTCCTAACGAAGATATTAACGTTTTTATCGCACATTGATTACGGGGAATTTGAGCTGCCCGCTCACAAGAAACTCAAAGCTCTACGTGAGTCAAATCGCGCACTACAACGATTTCAGCAAGCTTCTCAATCGAGCAATGTTCATTTCCCACCATATGCTGTTCAAACTATAAGCAATTTGCTATAGCTGAGCCAAAGCGTCGAAATTGAGGTTGCCATATTTTTATATCGCAGAGACTGTCATGATAACGTCTAGCGCACGATGTGAATCACGTAGAGCATTGAGTTTTCATGAGCGGGTGGTTGGAATTCATGCATCAAGAATCATTAAATATCTTCGTAAGGAGTTAATTTCGATAATTTTCGCTCTGCGCATCTTGTTTTCCGTGAAATTTTGATTAGGATTCATGTATCAGAATGCTGAAATTTGTACCTTGTCTGGTGGTCCATTGTCTACTTGGGCCGTATTTTTAGAGTTTTTATATGGATTTTACCAACGTTATGTTTCATATTTTAGGGATAATGGCGCCCCGAGGGAGGATCGGGTGGACTTGAGTTCACCGATGTGGCTTCACTCCAGCGGATGGGACCCGGGCAAGGATACGGTCGTGCTAATCCATGGATACGGAGGCATCCAGGATCATTTGCCCATTGGAGTTTTAAGGGATGGTAAGAAAACTCACCGATATGAAATTAATCTATCAACCTTTTTTTTTAAATTATGTATTGAGCACATCTATGTGATACATATTTAGCAGTATTAACTTAAGTGTATATAACATAAATATCTTAGTAAAAGCTAACCATTAATGAAAATGAGTGAGGGGTGAAGAGGATGAGTGTATGAGAAAACAGGAGTTATCTTGAAAACAATACAGTTAGCTGGTTACAAGACGATTGCCTAATAACTTAATATTAGACAAAACTGTAAATAGACACATTATAAGACTGTGCATACAATAGTGTAGAGGTGAAATATGACCCCGTACATACAGCTGCGTGGAAAACAGGCCTGATTGTTAAATTAGGTAGGAAATTTGAAAAAGAAGACAATGTAAGTACAGTGAATAAACAGTAGAGTACTAAAAATGCCTTTCTATTCACTCAGAAGAGCTACTATTTTTAAAAAATTAAACACTAAAAGTGGCCCGAAACTGTGTGTAACAAGGTGGAGAAATGGTGCTACTATTTTTAGATTAGTCGTCGACGAAAATCTATCAACCTATGGCAGGAACTTTATGGGGAGAGTGGACAACTCGATTTTATGTAGCTCTTAGGGCCCGAAAAAGCTTCCCGCTTCATGAAGGATACCACGGCACAGGTGAAAATTTCGTTGGAGGAGTCGTTCCACTCAATCCTTGCTGAACGTGGCCGACGCTTCCGCGCGCAAGTTCTGCCGAGATAGCGAAGAGAGCCGTAAGTGCAAAATTTTCGAAATCGAGTTTTCTTCAAAATTCGTCTAAATTCTTTTGGATGAAATTACCGAGACAGCTAAAACAGCAAAATTCATCCTAATTTAATGAAAACGAGACGGATGTAAAAGCCGTAGGTGCACAAAAAATGACACAGTTTTTTTTCAAGACAGCCGTAGGTGCATGAGAGCCAATGAAAACAGTGCTTTCCAGTAAAGTGCCGCCCTCTTCTGCCAATTTCTAACCTGAAAATGTGTTTCTTGTGCGTCCAAAACGCAACCACGAAAGCATGCAGAAGATAGCACTTACGGCTGTCTTGCCCAACAATAACCTAGCATGAAAATGACTATACTCTTTTTATGTGATGGAAATAAAATCAGTCGATTTTTAATCATCCATACGATTTTTATGGGTCTTCCGGATGATTAGTGGCAATTTGACAAAGAACGGAGGCTTCTCTCAATAAATGTTCATGTCAGAAGCTTTTGAGCCCGTTCTCTCAAAACTTCATTTTTGCACTTACGGCTCTCTCCGCTATCACGGCAGAGTTGAGGAGAGAACGAGGTCCATCAAGGCGGATAGCTGTCAACGTAAGAAAAATGTGAATGTAAACACGCCGATTGTTATCAGGTGGTTAGAATCATTGTCCCGTCACATGCGTTTTGGAGGGTTGGCGTCGGCTATGCTGAGTATTGCGTGGTATCCTTGTGAGCAGGGGTTGGCTGGAATGACTCCTCTAGCGGAATGTACACCCGTGCCGTGGTATCGTTTTTGAAGCGGGAAGCTCGAAAAAAGGCAAATTTCCTAAGTAATTTGTGAAGTGAGGAGTGCATTTCAGACTTTGCCGATGCACTCATCGTGATTTTTGAGACACTTTCCATGAGTAACAACTCTTATTTTTCCTCTCGCAAAAGTTTGCAACAGGCCCATTGTTCATAAGGGATTGTTGAATCCCCGAGAGTAAAAGCTTCCACCTGTCCCGAAAAGGCCAGTGGAGGTGGAGGGTCTCTGGTCTCTGGTATACAGGGTGTCTCAGGATTAAATCCGAATACTGAAGGAGTCGATCTTTGGGGCAAAAAAAGATGTATTTGTGGTATGAATTTTTTTCCAAGTACGCTTTCCCTGGGCGACACAACTCCCCAAAATTTGAGGATAGAAATTGTCTTTTTAACACTGCGACAATGTTTATCAACCAATATTGTTGGAAATTGGTGCCTAGAAGTAATTTTTAGCGTTCTTTTCCTTTTTGACCTTAAAAAAAAGTGAGGCTAATTTTGAGGGGGGTTTAGAGGGGGCACCGAATCTAAAAGTGGCCAAAATTAATGTTTCTAGCGACAAAAATTGATTTTTGACGGCACCACAAGATTCAACGTTGAAAAATATTCAGAAAATGTCAAAAGCGTTTTTTCGCTATAACTCATCGTTTTCAAGATAATAGGGAATTATAGGAGCTGATAATAGGGGGATAATGGGGTCCCCACGAAAAGCGTTTTTCGAAAAAAAAGTTATACCACAAAAAAGTATTCTTTTGACCCGAAGAATCGATGTCCGTATTTAATCCTGGGACATCCTGTAGATGGACTCTAGACCGGAGTGAGTGGAGAGTGGAGTGTTACTTCTGAAACTGGACTTTGAGGACCTGACGATTTGTTTCAGCCTACCTGACGACGCGGCGCTACAACACGTTCGTGGTGGACTGGGGCCCGCTGGCGGCGATCCCGTGCTACGCGGCGGCCGTGCACAACATCAAGCCCGCGGCGCGGTGCGTGGCCCAGCTCCTAGGCTTCCTCCGCAACTCCGGCGTCCCTGTCCGGCGGACGACCTGCGTCGGGCACAGCCTCGGGGCCCACGTCTGCGGGGTCGCCGCCAACTACATCAACTTCTTCATGCACAGGATCGTCGGTGAGTCCCATGTAGAGCGCAATTCCTTTCCCCCTGCGTAGAGTCCCTTTATACCCAGAGTTAAGGTGATTCGATGGACGCCATATTTTGTGTCAGAACGGCATGCGATATATCGCATCAATTGATTCCATTTTTTCAGCTTCTCGTCATTTTTCTCCAATTTTGAGATCGCAATTCTGTTGTCAGGAGACTAAAGCACTCACCTACCACTTTTAACAAAGAAATTCAACGTAATAAAGGCGTGGTTTTTTTAGAGAGAAAATATCGCATTC